TTTAACTATGCACTGGAAAAAATCTACATCTAAATAATTCATTTTTTCTTAAAATAAGTGCATTTTTTCTTAAACTGAGGAGGTAAGTGAGATACTTTGCGTATGGAACAAGACAATTTATTTTCACTTATCTTACTTTAAGAGGAAGAAAACTAATTCCATCGGTAAATCATCTTATTTACATGCTCGAATCAAGGGTAAATACACTTAATTGAAGAAAAGTTGGATTATTTTTAAATTGTTCTTGCAGTGCATCTGTGTTCGACCACAATCTAGTGGGGGGGGGGGGGGGGGGGGGGGGTCTAAACGAGAAAGAGAGAGCTTCTTTCCTCCAACAGGAAAGGAAAGCAGTCGTTGCTGTGGCAACACAGTGATGCCCCATGCGCATGGCTGTAGCTCGACACAGTTGACATGACATCAAACATTTGATCCTGTCTTAAAACAAATGTTTACAGTCAAATAAATCTTCTCATAGAGGAAATTCTTTATAGGGATTAATGACGTGTGTTTTTCTTTTTCCTAAGTTGTGATTTTCTGTCAGTGTGACCAAGATGCAGCAAACCCACAGACCATAAGGCTGATTTATACTTCGAAACCAGGTCGTCTGCGTGTGTGCCGCAGTGAGCGCAAAGTCCCCGCCCCCTCCGCAGACACTCTGCTGCACCTCTCCCAAATTATTGGTGACCGCAGACAGGAGGCCTCTGATTGGTCAAATCTACATCCGCTTGCTGGCTTGTTTTTTTTGTATGACCGTCATTGCGTAAAACAACTCCTGAAGATGGACCAGCTAGAAGAGCGAGGTGCGCGAGAACGCTGGGACCCTTTTCCACCTGGATCCCCGCTCTTTTTAGCCCTCATGTCCCTCCGTTGTCGCACAAACTTGCCCCCACTTCCTCGCCACCTCAGCCGTATCTAGACCCACAGCTAGTTCCTGATTGGCCCTCTGAAATTGTGGCATGGAATAACGTAGCGCAGACCACACTTCATTATTTGGCATAAATCAAAAATGTCTGCATCAAGCTCACTGCAACACACTGCTGCAGGAGGATAACCAGCCCTTTACATTTGAACACATGTTTCCTCTGCCATTAGTACGCCATTACACCCACTGACAAATTCCAGACTCACTATTTAAGGGCTGAGCGGTCCACCCGCCCTGCCCACTACGGGCTTTGGGGTGGTCCCTTAATATGGAGGACCTTCCGAGGTAATGCACAAACAAAGGGTTAATGTTTAGGGGGCAGTTGGGATCCAGCCATTAAAATGGATGTCTGCTCTTTACCTTTACCTCTTTTTGACTTCATTATTTTTATTCAATGAAGAGAAAAGACTAAGTAAAACTGATCATTTCTGCTGTAATAAGAGTAATTTCCATAAGTTGGTTTAGAATGAAAACTTAGCAGATAAAAGCTGCTATCTCAATGCGACTTTAGCTTTCACCTTCATTTTATATCATTATTAAAAGAGAAAAGAAAGAAATGAAGTAAATCTGAGTAACATCCCTTACTGTGTTTGTTCCAGCTCATATCATGTTTACAAGCTGGGGCCATAATAAGGGCCATGACCACCTGCACTGCGGCACCGGCTCCAGTTGGCCCTTCTCAAGAACCACCCGTGTATGCGGTGTATTTAATTCCATTACTGTAACACTAAAGAACATTTTTTGTAAATGGAAATAAAAAAACCACAATTCAATGAAACTTCAATGAAAAAATAAACGTTTGCATCAAAAACGGTTTTGAGAGGAGCATTGATGTTTCCTTACATTTTGCCTTTTTAATTTCTTTTTGAAATTTAATTTTCACTTTTTTTTTCAAATGTAATTTTTTTTTCATTCAAATTTTATATAATAATATACCAATTTTTTTCCACACTCCTTTTGCAAAACTTGTTTTACCTGTTTGATGTTTATAAATGTTCATAAGTTCGATTTATTTAAGTTTTTAGGTTCCATTTAAAAAAAAAAATCTTTTAAATAAAATTTCTCTCCTAACTAATAAGGATGTTTTGCTAACGTCCAAGCAGAAAAATATAAATGCATCTCTGCTCTGAAAGCCCACCTCAGAAGTAAAGAGAAGGTGATCTGGAAAATGCAATTTCAAAAGAATCCAATTTATAAAACTCAATCAAAAAAGAAAAATTTTAAGGTTTAAGGTAAAGGAAGAAAAAAAAACATATGTATGGATATTATTTTATATATATAAATAATCAATTCAATTCAATTTAGTTTATTTATATAGCTCCAAATCACAACACAAGTCACCTCAAGGCACTTTACAGTTCAACCAGATCATCCAGTCAGATTGATTCAAAGTTTTCTATTTAAGGAAAACCAGTTCATTGCATCGACTCATTGACTCTTCAGCAATCCCTCACATTAAGCATGCTTGTAGCGACAGTGGAGAGGAAAAACTCCCTTTTAACAGGAAGAAACCTCCAGCAGTACCAGGCTCAGTGTGAGCGGCCATCTGCTGAGGCCGACTGGGGTTCAAGCAGACAGAAGCAGAGATAGAAAAAGCAGCTGTAAACGGCTAACCTGACAACAGCCAGATGCATGTCTCGCTCCGCCTACTGTAGCTCCACTCACATACATCTGGGAACCCGCCATAGGAATTGCCTTTACTGAAGGCTGGGCCTTATCAAAACTCCTTGCATATGATTGGATAAGCCACTTGTCTGTCATCTTTATTGACGTGCTATTTCAACCACTCACACCGAAGCTAACCCGTGACGCTGTGAGAGGAGGAGCCATTTGGTAGATCAAGCTCTTGCCAAATCCGGTCGGGAGAAGGGCGAAAACATCGTTTCCACCAACAAAAGCTTTCAAAGCCGTTCTCTGATGTTCTTTTGATGAAACAATATCAGATAAATTGGACAACACAGAATAAATAGCAGCATCAATGCTAACGCTTGCTTCCTCAATGCGAGCCGCCATTGTTGTTGGAATCTCACGGTCGCTTCTCCACTCCAGGACACACCCGCCCTGCGTCCTGATTGGACAGACCATAAATTCGGTTGGGGAAATCACTTTCAATGAGCGGGTTCCCAGATGTATGTGAGTGGAGCTAGGCGGAGCGAGACATGCATCTGGCTGTTGTCAGGTTAGGAAATGGCGGTCCTGTCCAGGAAACACACAGCCAGGCAGACAAGGTCACGAGACGGCTCCCATGTCAGAGGATGAAGAGAGCACATCCAGTTAGTCACAGTCAGAGAAACAGGACTACACTGAAAAACAGGCCGATCTCCTACATCTATACACAAATGTGTTGATGTCAGCAGCACAGCTGATAATTCTCTCCAGGATGGAGTCACAGCCAAACAGGAAGAGACAAGGCAAAGCTACAATGAGAAAAAGCATCTGATATCAGATGGAGCTTGGCCATTCTAAGGCTTTATATGCAGTGATGGGACTAACGGCGTTGAAAGTAATGGCGTTACTAACGGCGTTACCTTGTTTTAGTAACGAGTAATCTAACTAATTACTTTGACTGTAACTATCACGCAGTTACCATTGCAGACACCCCGTTACTGCGCGTTACTCAGGTCGCACAATGAACCTTTTTTCATGATAGGACTCGTGCGCGCCTTGTCATGAGAGAGGGGAGGATGAGAATGGCTGATGTATAGTGAGATTCCGTCTGTCAGTTGGGTAGGTGGGTGTTTCTGCTGGTGGCTGTTGACGTACAGCACACACAGAGAGATGAAGAGTGAGGAGGACTCCAGCAGCAAAACAGCGTTTTCCAGATGGAAATACTGGTGTTACGTCGAGCTGCGTTTCCCCATCAGATACGGTTTCCCCTGCATCTCCGCACAGCGCAGGCGGCACGATTCACCGCGCAAGCGACTGGAAACGCGCATGCTCGCTAAAGGCACGTAACAGTTGCCCTGTGCTCGCGCCTAGTGAGAACTATGGAGAGCGTGAACGATCATTAGCCTATGTGGAGAAAGGGAGAAATCTGGATGGATGGATGGATGGATGGATGGATGGATGGATGGATGGATGGATGGATGGATGGATGGATGGATGGATGGATGGATGGATGGATGGATGGATGGATGTTGCAGTATCTATAACAACCCAAACACACAGGATTTCAGAATTAGACATCCCCAGTTATTAATTTCATATACTCACCAGATCTGAACACCCTGTTAAAAAACTTCACATGGCGTTCCCCCCTGATGTCATTTACGTTGAGTTGCAATAAATGCTAAACTCTCTGCAGGTTCTTGTCTTTGTCGTCCGCGAGAAGGTGGGGGCTGGATGGTGAGGGTTACGGGGGCGAGAAACGCAAAAGTTACTTTTACTAGTAACTAGTTACTTTTATTGTGGAGTAACTCAGTTTGTAACTCAGTTACTTTTTGGGAGAAGTAACTAGTAACTATAACTAATTACTTTTTCAAAGTAACGTGCCCAACACTGTTTATATGTGAGAAGAAGTTTTTTATATTGTATTGTGGATTTAATAGGAAGCCAATAAAGAGCAACTAAGACAGGAGAGATATGATCTCTTTATATATATATATATATTTATATATATATATTTTTCATATATATATATATGAAAAAAAGAAGAAGAAAAAAAAATATATTTATGAAAAAAATTCTTTATTAAATCTTATCTTATAAAATAAAAATATTGTTCTTTCCTCACAACAAAAAATAGAACAAAATTCACTCGATGATGGGTAAAACGTTTTTCCAGGGGACGTGTGTCTGTGTTTGTGGGGGTAGATGGAGTCTGGCGTTCCCTTCAAAGCTCCGTAAGTTTGGACTCTTCTGTTCTCCATGGATGCGGCGGAGCGTCATTGGGGCTGAATGGTGCAGCAGGGATCCAATAATCAAACATGTATTCTCTGTTATTCTCCTCTGACTGTTGTGACGGGAGCTGTGGACTTTGCATCCTGCGATACTGTTGAGCTGCAGCTCACCTAATTGGCTGCCGGGCTCCTGTTGGCTTAGCGCTCAGGGGGCGTCACCTTCTGTCATCCAGCCGCGTGCGTCTGGGCCGGGCTGAGCTAGGTCTAACCAGGGGCCGCGCTCCTCCAGCACAGACAGCCGTGGACCTCAGACTGTGGAGGATTTTATCATCCGGAATCCGACTGGAAGTCAGGCTGAAACCACAGCGGCTCTTGTGTTTCAGGTCATCACTCATGGCGATCCGGCTTCTCCTTTTGCTTCTGACCCTCCAACCTGGCGGGACTCAGCCCGGGTCGGAAGGTCAGGATGGAGCGCCGCCGCCCGTGGATCAGCGCGTCTTTGCGCAGGAGAACCAGGACATGTTCTCCATAAACATGTTCAAGGTGTATGAGAGGTACAGCAAGGAGCCGCAGAGCCGCAGGGATGGAAACACCGTGAGGAGCTTCAAAGCCGTCCCGAGTGAGTGTCTGCTCACCAGGATTCACTTTTGGAAAAACGATTCAAGTATTTATTGATCTGCATTAGAAGCCGAGACATTTTCACACATTTTCACCTTTCCTGTCCAGCTACAAAAATTTTTTATTAAGATTCTATACAAAAAAAACAACACAGCATTATGAAGTTGTAGGAAAATGATTCAGTCTGGAGCCAATTTGTTACCATTTAGTTTATAAACAAGCTTCCAGATGAGAACATTAGAGAACAATTATGAAAAACAATGTCAAGAAATATAAGGCAGAATTATGCAAATAATATTAAACATTCCATAGTGAATCCATCAACCACTGAAACTAACAAAAAAACATAACAAGCAGGCAAACCAGAACAAACCAGGGAAGTTCTACTGATTTTTGAGGTTCACTATTAGTTACCATTAAGGCTGAACAAATATTGTGTGCAGGAAAAGTCACCAAATTACACAAATATCTTTGCTGTAGGAAAACCATTAGAGCTCCTGGGTTCTAATGATGAAATACAATAAACATAAAAAATGTACTTTATATATTAGGTAGCATTGTAACTAGATAAGAGTGGGTAAATCATACATTTTTGTTAACAGTAGCCAATGCAACATAATAATAATAAAAAAAAAAAAAACTATATCAAAATATTTTGGGTATCTCAATATACACATGTGCCTGAAAGTAACTGTTCTGCTGAACCACAAGAGAACAGTGCAATGTTCAATATTAGTTTCCAAAATTTTACTGTAAACCATCATAATTATGTTTTCTCTTGATCCTGATGGGGAAAGTATTTGGATGACTGTAGAAACTTTGAGGTTGTAGTTTGGATGGTGGTGTAGTTGGTGCCAGGGTGGAAGTCATTGATCCATCCAGACTCCTCATGGTGTTTGAGTTGATATGCTTCATTTTCTTGCTGTTTCACATCTGTGGAAATAAAATAATTAATAATAAACCTTGAGTAAACTAACTCAACCAAACTGTGTGCAAATTGTTAGCTTAAGAAAATGACCTTAACTGATTTTGTTTTTGCACTTTTGCAAATTCTAATATTTTAAAGTGAAAAAGAAAAGAGAAGAAATGCAATTAGAAAACATGTTTAAAAAATAACAAAGTCAGAAATGTTGACAGTAGGTAATGGATACATGTGAGGAAAGGATAAAGAACTTCCACTGACAACAGCTGCTGTTTACTGTAGTTTTACCTGATATTTAAATAGCTGATGAACGGCTGATGGTGAACGGAGTAACCAGACATTTTATTCTCACAATGCGGAGGGAATTTTACTCCATTATTGTTTCAAGCAAAGAGCATGTTTGTTAAACTGAAATGACAGAAAAAGCAATCCAGAAATGAACTTCTTAATCAAAATAAGTTGTTCAAAGTAACCCTCATTATTTTCTCAAATTGGTACAGCTTTTTTTTCTATTAATTAATTTTTTTCTATTTTTTTGGCATTAAGTCCAGGGACGCCGCCAGGAATTTGGGCCCCCATGAAAGACATAATCATTGATATTGCCCCCCCCCACCCCATCCAAAAAAAATAAAACAATGCAAGCTCTAAAAGTGCTGTAAAGATGCACTAAAGAGTATCATTTACATTGTTGTAAAATTTCTACAAAGGAAAATGACCATAATGTGAAAAAGTTAAATATAACGATTAGGTTTTGCTATAACCATATTCAAGGGCAGGTTATTTTTATGCTGGCCCTGAGAACTAATTTTTCATTCTTGTATACGTGTAATAACAAAACATGTATTTGCGGTGTGGCTGCTTCAGGCTGCACAAGAGAATGATCAATATATGTATTTTAATGGTATAAAAGGGCATAGTATTATATGAAATATATTTATGGTATAATATATTTTAATGGTATAAAAATCTATTCATATATTCAATATATACGTGGTTTATTTCACTGTTTACTGCTGAAAAATGAGGGAGTTCACAAAGATAATTTATTTCACTGCTGGATTTTCTTTTTATATTTGAAAAATATAGCAGGACAAACCTTTTCTACTTCTTTTGGGTCCCCCCCAGTCAAGGGCCCTTAGAATCTTCGAACCCCTCCCCCCCATACGGCACCCCTGACTAAGTCTAATCGAAACACTGGCTCTGTTCGAATTCATGGGCTGCGTCCTCAGAAGGCCAGATTCGAAGTACGATTAATCATAGCACAGCGCGGAGGTCTGGTCGGATTCCAAGAGTCCTCGTTATGCGACCTTAAAGGTACACTATGCAACCGGTGTTGATTTTCCAGCGAGACTCCCCCCAGAGGGCGAAAGTAAAAGTGCACTGTCGTAAATATACACAGCTGTTCTCCTGGTTTCTCCGTCAAGCCAGGCGCGGTTGTTTTGAGCTTAGCAGACAGGCGAACGCAACCAATGACTAATGCTGCGTTCACACCGCAGCTGGCGCGACAGAAGCAGCGAGTTTACATGCAAAGTCAATGGTTGACGCGCGTCAAGGCGCAGCAAAGGAGCAGCAGGCCCAGCGCGTCTGAGCAGCTGAAGCAGGGAGAGAGACAGCGCTGATGATCAGAGGCTATGATCACTCCTCTTAAACAGTTTATTGACGCCTAAATTAACTTAAAATGCAGAAATCTGCCGGCAGAATATGCAGTTTGGATTATTTAGATGAAAAACACCTACCAGCTGCCGTGGTGAACCGCTGCTGATGAAGGGATCCATACTGTCGGCGCCCCGCTGGTATGTGGGGGTCTGAGCGGCTCCGACAGAAAAAATATTGAAGGCAGGATAATAATCTGAATGAACTGACGGCACTGATTACGTTTTCAGGTGTATTTTCTCATTTAAACACATATTAAAACTACTTTATTCCAAATGATCACAGCAAATATAGCTGCAAGGCAGAGAAAGGATAGTGAAGCTCCGCCCAACGCGCATCAGACACACTTTTGCACCGCACAGCCAGAGCGTCAGAACTAACTGGTTCAAGCAGAAAAAATGAAGCAGCAGACACGATTTTGCTGCTTTTGCTGCGTGAACGTAGCATAACTGCACAAGGATCGCCACTGTGCTAGCAACGAGAATGCTTTTAACTGGGGGGTGTAGCAGTTCTCGGCCGTAAAGCAAGACTGACTCTCACGAGACTTCTGAGCCTGTGGGTGCGGGTCGGTACTCCTGCAATTGCAAGTGCGGTATTTCCCCCACAGACCACCAGGGCGGCCGAGAATACCTTTGTTCAACCTGAAATGACTCATTTAATCATCCAAAACGTTATGGAACACATTAATTAACTGAAAAATGTTGCATAGTGTGCCTTTAAAATGCGTCCTCCTTTTAACTCCATATTTGAAGGATGGGTCCGATGTATCCTCTCTATCCTTGGTTTTCCCAGGATTCATTGCAAGACCAAGCAAGCTGGCTGCTCCGATCAGAGGAAAGGTTACTTGGCCCCGAACAGTGGTGAATATTGGAAGTGCAGTTTGATATAATACAAGTATGTGAATAGTTCCGTCTATGATTAATGAAAATAGTTGTTTTAATGGTTATTCAGTCAGATATGTGGCGGTAATGTTTGATTTATCTAAAGGTTTTTATCTGTTGCTCTGTAAATGGGGTTGGCTGTAATTTAAGATTCTAATATATCTACAGTGTGGGGACTATAAATCTGATAGGATTTTAATTTTTTTATTGCTGTTTTGCACAATTTGCTTAACTAAGTATTTTTTGTTGTTGATTATTAGAGATTTTGCAGATATATGTTTTATACACACATTGATTAGATTTACTTATATCTTTCTACCCCTTTTATAGAATAGAATAGAATAGAATAGAAAATCTCTTTATTGTCCCACAATGGGCAAATTTAATGCAGCTGAAAGATTATTGAAAATGGTCACACAAATGAGGACCTTAAAAAAATGTATGAGAATAACATAATACTATAAAGTGTTTTAACAACATAAAACTATTCACCTTGAGAATAAATAACCAATATGCAGCTATGGACATTTTTACAATAATGGATATCTTAAAATAGCAGCATCATCAGAGATGTGCAAAATTACATTTGATTTTGTTTGTTCCTGCTCCCGGTGGTTGGAACCTTTATTTCAATCTGTATTTTTGTGAGTATAGTCTTTGTTCACTTTACAATAAAAAATAAATAATTAAAAAACAGTTTTGAAAACTTCGGTATTCATTCTTTTCCTGCTTTGTGTGTCAACTTTCACGGTTGCTAAGCAACGTAGCCTACGGTGGTAAAACCCGCCGGTGTGTAGACCTGTTTGAATTCACAGCCGGTCTTCTTATTTTCGCGGACTTCGAAGGATCCAGTCTAGATCGACTGCGTCCTTGGAAGACGCAGCCCATGAATTCGAACAGAGCCACCCTCTCCTGACCAATACAGTACTGTGGCTAACGTCCAGTAGACCAATAGAATTGAAAAGCCCGCCCCCAGAGGGAAGAGAATAAAATGCAACTTAAAAAGAACGCAATTAATGACACTCAATCTGAAGACGAAAACCTTTACGAAAAACAATTAGAAAATCTAATACATATATTTAATATAAAAAATATATTTTTTAAATATTCATCTGAGAAATTTACTCCCAAAACTTAAAAATGTTTTTTTTTTTTTCTCAAATTTCAATTTATATTTTTTTCCCGTCTTATTGCCCTTTACAAAATATCCTCTTTGCTTGCAACAATAATGGAACAAAATGAACTCCATAGTTACGACCCACCTCTAAATAAGGGCGCATCTGGGAAAAAATATTTTTGAGGCTGCAAAATATTTACAATTAGGCGGGAGGTTTACCTTTCAGCAGGACGAACGTAAACATTCAACCATGAATGGCTTAGATGATGTATGTGTTAGAATAGCCTATAGTCAAAGTTGCTTCTAGACTACAGGCTTTAACATTTTACATTTTCTGTTAAAATAAAGTCTCTTTTCAATCTGACCTAATTTCAGTTTCTATGTGTGTAAAGTAGGTGAGGGATAAAGGCCAGATTGCAGCTTTATTTCTGTTTAAAAACAGCATTGATTTAGGGGAAACAGTATCATTTGTTTTTTTCTTTTCTATAAGATATCAGTAAAACACATTGATTTAGTTGCACCATCATCCAATGTGTAAAGGTACACATACCATATTTATATGTAATCATTTGTGCTATAAATGTTTAGACTAGTCTTCAACTTCACTTTTTAAATGAAGAGGTTTATGGGATATATACAGTATCCGCCTTGAGCACATGTTGCTTAGTTTTTGCATACTTCACTCACACAGGACACTTTTAGATTACCAAAGTATCTGCCTAAAGGGTCTAATCAGACTTTAAATGTTCAGTAAAATGTTCTTTTTGTATCATCATTGCCCCTGGATTAGCCAGCTTCCTTTGGGCTAAATCTCCTACGACAGTGTTGTGATTTACTATATTAGAGCGATTGAAGGAGTCAAACTCTCCTGCCTCCAAAGTAGATGTAGAAGCCTAGGTGTTAGACAAGTGCCTATTATCACAGCCAGACACCGGCTGCACACCAAAAAAAGCCTCAGGTCTAACTTTTTCTCCAATAAGCACTTCCATATGCCTGCAAGAGACCTACTGGACCGGTCCAATGTTTGTCTTTCAGGCTGTGGTGGAAGTGCGGGAGACGAGGCTGAACTTCAAGAGTATAGCTATCAGGGATGAGGTTTTTTGGTCATGCATAAGGCAAGCACTTAACCGTGCAGCTCCTAATCTTTTCCATGCTGCTCTGCTCAGATGTGTTGAGAAACACGTTGTGGTTAGTGCTTTTTTTTTTCTGATCCTGTTTTTATTCATTCACCTCAAACCCGAGAGAAGAAACGACAAAGACAGGTTAAAAACTTATTACAGGTTCAACGAAAGGCCTCCTTTTACGTTTCACATCTCTTTGACAAAATAACAGTTAAACATGAAATCAGATTGCAAGTGTTTGTTTTTGTTTCAGATTGTAAAAAAAGCAGTAAAGAAAGAACAATGTCAGCTGTCATGAGGCTGTGAGAATACCTTTAATCAGAAATACAGTAAATAAACAGTATTCTGATTTGAACACACACTAATAAAAGCAATATAAATGTCCCATATGACATAATTGATTATATTTCATTAAAAAATTCAATATTTATTTGTGCAACTCCTCAAAATAATATAAATAAGTTGACCCCACTTAGATAGGTGGCTGCTGCTCCATCAGTTTCAGCACATTGGCTTTTTTTTAAAAGTAAATAGTCATGTTATATCCCTGTAACATAATAATCTGCTTGATTATGATAAAATATTCCATGGCTCAAAACAGAGGACCCAGTATTCAAGGCAGACAGACAGTCATCTAATTCAAAAGCGTTTATTTATAACCAACAGATCTGCAGTTCTAGCAGCTAGGGCATCCAAGGCCGGAACCTCTGCAGAAATAAAACAGGTCAGTGACCACGTAAATCTGTGCAGGAAGATTATGAATGTGAGTCACTAACCTGGTTTAATAGTTCAGTCCGTGGCGGGAGAACATGGTTGATTCCAGCCAGTCGGCTGCCAACAAGACGTGGCGGGCGCCGCTCACACAGTAGAGTCCCAAACGCCGTAGTCCCAAAGGACAGAGAACTAGCAAGAGATCAGATCTGAAGGAAGGCAGGATAATTCAGAGAGTGAAGCTAAAGCTGGTGTCGAGGACGTGTTCAGCATTCAGAACAAGGAGATCAGAAGATGTTCCAAAGTGAAATCAGGTCGGTGTCAGGAGGCAAGTTCAGCAAGCGGGCAGGATCCAGCAGGAGTCCAAAGACAGGTCAGGCAAACGGATCAGACAGGAACAGGCATGCTCAGAGGTTGAGAGGCAGAACAGGTAATCAGAAACAGTCAGGTAACGCTGGTACACCCTGCCCACTGGCTCGAGAATAATCTCGCCCTGAAGACTGGTTAGAAAGCTGTTTAAACAGAGGTAGGAGCAGGTGGATCAGATGAACCGCAGAAAGAAACTGAGCAGAGTTAGACAGAAGATTAAAATGAGTAATTAAGCCAGTCATCAGCTTAAAGATCATATAATTAATCTATCTACTTCAAGTGTCCATCATGAAAGTGTTTCAAAATACCTTTTTTCAGTCTTAATAGAATTCCAGCACCGTGCACAATGAGCTCACATAAACAGTCGTGCATATGGCCCCACGTCTCGCGGAAAACTGAAAGCCTGGAGGATGGGCTTAAAGCATTACTAAGACTAGTACCACTATTAGCAAGGATCAGCAAGTGGTAAGTCATCCTTCCCGCAGACAGCAAGCCTGGGTTGGTATCCCCACTGGGGGGTATGAGCTGCCTTTTTGGGTTCTTGGGCAAGACCCTTCACGCTAATTCAAGCTTTTGGGATTGGCAACTTAGTGGTTAGAGCATCGGGCTTGGAATCCTGAGGTTCAAGCCCCACAGCGTCCACTCTGGGTCCCTGAGCAAGACCCTTAACTCCCACACTGCTCCCTGGGCGCCGCACATTGGCAGCCCACTGCTCCCCAAGGCAATCGGTTAAATCCAGAGAGTTTATTTTGCTGCTCTGTACTTGTGACAGTGTAATGACAATAAAACGCTGGAAAAAAGGACATGCCACGTTATTTTTCAACTTTGCAATGACATCAGAATGTTTCCTGAGCTTTAAAGCTTTCTGCTTTAGTGCACCAGTGCTCATACTGTTTTCCCAAAGGAACTAGTTTTTCTTTTCTTGGAATTAAACATCTTGTGATTTTTAACTCTTGATCTAGGACTTTTCTTTTTATTTTACCTGTGCACCTTTATTGCTTCTGCTTTTCGACCAATTGTACACATGCACAGTCTCATAATCCTGGTCTCATGATGCTTTATATGCATATAAAAGTTTCTATATGCAGAAAGTATACTAAACTATATTTACTAAAAAACTTGACCAAAAATGACCAATACTATGCCAGTGGGACAACATAATTTATCATAAAAACATTGTATGCAAAAAGAGTGAGATATTGGGGTATGAACACAAAAAAGTCAAATAAAAGCACTATATACTTTAACCTCTTACACCCTCAGGGGGTATAAATAAATTTCTGCCTGACAAAAACACACAAAAGTAAATCACTTATAGCCTCACAGCTATTAGATTTAAGAAGAAACTTTTGGTACGTCTGTAAAGGTAAGATGTCATAGAATGGTTTTCTGGTGTCAGCACCATTGTAGCTTTGACCCTGCCTGTAATATTAGGGACAAAATACAAAATATTTTGCATTTTTTTGAACCTCGCCAAAATTTTCTTTGAAATAAACATTGCAAAACACTACCAAAATATTATTTATAGCACAAAAAAGTAGTACAGACTTTTAAATCTAAATGTTGTGTAAAAATATACCAAATTTGGGCTCAATCAGATGAATCATATTTATTTTAGAATGGTATTAGTGAGAAATTTCTTAGGCGGAGGGGCCATTTTGGCACATTTATCCAAAAATGTCACCAAACTGTGCCAAATGTGTTTTTTACATCAATACTGGGGGTTTGTTAAAATTACGAGGTCACGTAGCAGCTGGACCCACAGGTGGGTCCGTAGGGCTCAAGGGGTTAAAGCATCTCTTCAGAAGTAAAGAAAAGTTTAATAGCTTGTTCAGCCAGCTTAAATGCAGTGCTAAACAACAAATGGGAGAGTGCTTCTTGAATCTATCCCTTTTTCTTACTCTGACTCAGTACAGCTTTCCGTTTTTTGTAATGGCATCACCATTCCTACAACCCATGCATAAACGTCAGACTTGATTCAAGTTTTTCTTGCCCCCCTTATTTGTAATTTTCTTGTCTTTCAGGAGTTCTGCCTGGCAGAGAGGTGCTCCAGTTCAACTTGTCCTCAATTCAGAACACCGAGATCATCCTTTCTGCCTCTTTTCACTTCCTTAACAGGCGTCCCCGCCACCACCAAAGGCCATGGCGCTTCAGAAAGCCTCGACACCTATCCACTGCACTTTGGCATTCCCACCAGCCCTCCCAGCAGCTTCTCTTCTATGGATCCCCCCACGATTCTGCATTTGCAACACCGCTCGGAAACATAAGTCTTGTATCTCTCAAAAAAGGCTCTTGGCAAACCAGAGATGTGACAACCGTGGTAAAACGGGCCAGGGAGGTAAACGAGATGGTGATCACTGTGGAGACTGATGTGGGGCTTGAAGCAGCCGGCATGCATCAAAGAGGAGCTCTCAGCCATGAGCATCTCTCTCCAGCCAACCTGCCTTACATCTTGGTCTATGCCGATGATCAAGCTATAGACGAGCCAAACAGCGTTGCCCTTTCCCTTCAGAGGTATGGACCATTTCCTGTTGGGGATGATATATCTGCCTCCACCTCAGCATCCAGAATCCGGAGAGAGCTACACCTTCAGATCCAAACCAATGACATTCCAGAGGTTCATTTCAGTGCTTTTAAAAACCATGAACTGTGGCAGAACACATATTTCCCACCTAAAGCCAAAGCTACAGTCAAAAATGGGAGAAAGCATGGCCAGGTGAGCAGTGAGGATATGAACAAGCCACAGGTTCTGAACTTTGATGAGAGGACAATGAAAAAGGCCAGAAGGAGACAGTGGAGTGAACCCAAGGTTTGCTCCAGACGCTACCTCAGGGTTGACTTCGCAGACATTGGGTGGAGCGAATGGGTGCTGGCACCGAAGTCTTTTGATGCCTATTACTGTGCTGGCACATGTGGATTCCCTATACCTAAAGTAAGTCATGGGTATTTTAAGTTAAAGTCTTCCTAGATGGATGTTTTACAGATGATCCATTGGGTGGTGGGGTGGGGATAGTCATATCATATATAGAATTGTTCAATTAAGCAAGAACTTCTCACAATACCAATTGTGAGTAAGAGTTCACTTGCTACTAAACAAAGGAAGAGGAAAGGTCCTTGACCTTCACCAAAAAAGAGTATTTTTGTTGTTTGTTTTTGTGCTGTTCAGGTTCAGTGCTAACAGTTGCTTCTCCACACTTCCTTCCTTTAGTTGGCACATCCATCCAATCATGCCACTATCCAGAGTATCGTCCGAGCTGTTGGAATCATCCCTGGAGTCCCTGAACCATGTTGCGTTCCTGACAAGATGAGTCCCCTTAGTGTCCTCTTTCTGGACCCAGACAGAAACCTGGTGCTAAAGGTCTACCCTGGAATGTCTGTGGACACGTGCGGCTGTCGGTAGGACCGTCCAAGCCTATGAGAAGCGCCATGAATGAAAAGACTTAGAGAAAGACAATACCATAGAGGCAAAGGGAAAATTTTGAGAAATGTTAAGAATGATGTGAGATGTTAAGGGGAACTGAGAAATGCTTTTTTATCCAAATTGTTCTTGTTTTCTGATCTGAGGGAACGTTGCCTTAAACTATGCTGCTTTATTAACAGTTTTTAAAGCTAATGTTCATTACCTATTATTTAATTATTTCATTAAATCAATTAAGATACAGAGGAGTTTACCTTAAGAAACATCTACACATCGTTTTTGATTGCCTCAATTTTTAATGGCTTTAGTCTTGATTTTCTAATCACATAAGTGATTCTGCCTTTGAGCAAACTTGTGCTTGGACTCGAAGGGACCTACGTTTCCAGGGTCACCTCAGACTCTTAAGGAGCAACTCTGTTCAGGAAACTCAACTCCCCAATTATCCATTTGTGTACATCTGTGGATGAAATGGATGTCAGCTGCTTTCTCTTTATGCTTTCACCGTTCATTTTCGTGTATTCCTGTTTTAGTTGAGCTGACAAACTGCAACGCCACGGAGAACACCCTAAAAGGAAACTGCAGAAATGCTCACTTTGTGTCAAGTTAACCATTGTCATGATAAAACCTAGTTCCAATAGCTTTGTTCCTGTGTTTTACTTCTAAATGATGTATTTGGTCTTCCATTGAGTGCTCCAGCATATCAAAGTCTGTATGCTTCAGGCTTCTGCATCACGGCATGACTGGGTGATAAACAGTCCAACGCTGCCATCTGGTGTGCGTTCTATGAAAGGTAATGAAATGTGAAATGAAAGACTTTCTTTACACTTGTAGCCTGTAGACAGCATTATACACCTAGTGATATGTAAAAATATTAAACGGATGAAGGATTTTAACAATAGGTAAAAAGATAAATGTACGTATTTACAAGAAAGTATGAACCTTTAAAGTGCAATTAAATAGTACTACAGTGGTGTATACTTCAACATATTGCATGGCATTGTTTTTTTTTTTAATTGACTTGTATGTACACTCAATGGTAAATACTGAATTATATAAACTGCTAACTGTAATGAAAGCTAATAATGTTTTAGAAAAAAAAACATTTTTATGAACTAAGAAAGGGTCTTGGTTTTTGGTTTGTAAATCTGAGAAAAACAAAAATCTAAACAGTGTTTCTTTAACAGATGTCTGTAAAAAAAAAATTCTAATCAATGTACATTATTTTTTGCCTATCAGAATTATGAAGATAAATACTCAGAAAGTGTCCTTATCTAACCCCCTGCTTTAACTGATCTTATCCCTTTTCAGACCACTTTACTCTTTTTTATGTACAACCAAAACTCAAAGTGGCCTCCTTCTGTGGGTGTTTTTTGTTTCGTTAGTTTTTTAACAATAGACTTTAGAAAAATACCTTTAAATCTTTGTTGTCACATATGAGTTGATGCATGACGACAATTTCTTTTTGTTTTTTTACTCAGAAACATCAAGTTCAAAGAAACCAAATATTATGACATCCTGGATACGGTTGGGAATTGAAAAGATTTTCACGATTCCGATTCCCTTTTCGATTCTGTGAAACGATTCGATTCTTTTTCGATTCTTTTTTCGATTCCAATTTGGGGAAAAAAGGAGAACAAACAGTTTGATTATCAGCATCAACTTTGTTTACTTAACTATTGCACAATCTTACAAAATCAACAAGATCAAGATGTCCACAGGAAATGTGAAACTGGAGTAACATCCGTGTTTAAATGAAAAATGAATACAAGAACAAACTTAATAACCAACAATGTCTAATAAATGATGGGATAATAACCTATTTTAAATAACAAAAAATACTAATTATAAAACAGTAGTAGGGAAAATGAACAGTTATTTTGCAGAAAGATGAGCATATCTGCTTTTTCTGGAAGGATACGGGATCTTTCAGGGCTTATGGTGTCTCCAGCCGTGGAGAACACCCTCTCAGATGGGGTGGAGGAAGCCTGCACACAGAGGTAGTTTTCAGCCAGTCCAGATAGCAAGGGCAGCGTATCTTGCTTGTTCCACCACCACAGTGTGGCGCTATCCCTGCAGGGGATGGAGGGCAAGCTTTTATAGAGCTGGATTTCCTGATCTACCCTCTGGGCTAAGGAAAGACGGGGCTTTGATTCACAAAGTGACCGCAGCTCGTTGTCTTCCTCCTCGAATAGTTCTTGCAACTTGCGTAACTTACGTAAAAAAACGTGACATAAGTCGTGCTCCCCAGAGCCGGCGCTCTAGGCTCTGGTGCTGCGGGAATCGAAAAAAGAATCGTTCAGCGAGCTGCCAAACGATGCCATGGAATCGGAGAATACGGAACCGGTTCTGAACAGGAACCGGTTTTCGATTCCCATCCCTAATCCTGGAAGTACAAATCTACCTGCACTCTTTCAGATAAAACTTTTACATTTTTGTAACTGAACACATAAGTTGGAGTGTGGCTAAGATGCTGGCTGTTGAAATATCTAATTTATTAATTAATTAATATTATTAAACATATTCTCATATGGTCAAACCACACTGTGAATGTGAAGTTTTTGCCAAACATTTCTAAATTCACACACTTTCTTACTTGGTTTTTGTTTGCTTTAATTTTCCTATCATAATTGCAATAATTGCTGTACTTGTTCTCGGCCTCTTTTCCCAAATGAGTACACAAGAGACAAACTCAACCAAATATTGAAAAGGCCCCATGGAGTCTTTTTTTAAAAGCTCAGCATGAACCAAATGGGAGACACTGTGAATAAAAGACTGAAACTCTGAGGATGAGATGAGGCACATTATTTTAATATGACCCTTCCTCCTAGGGGTTCTGATTATCTGTCTATCAGCAGTTTAACATGTCTTTGTTTCATATAGAATTGGTGTGACATGAGCTTTGCTTGGAGTCTTTCTAAAATGGTATATTTCTTGTGCCATTCACCATGATAATAATTTTGGACACTGGGAACCTACACTATATTGCCAAAAGTATTTGCTCACCCATCCAAATTATTGGAATCAGGTGTTCCAATCACTTCCATGGCCACAGGTGTATAAATTCAAGCACCTAGGCATGCAGACTGTTTTTACAAACATTTGTGAAAGAATGGGTCGCTCTCAGGAGCTCAGTGAATTCCAGCGTGGAACTGTGATAGGATGCCACCTGTGCAACAAATCCAGTCGTGAAATTTCCTCGCTCCTAAATATTCCACAGTCAACTGTCAGCTGTATTATAAGAAAATGGAAGTGTTTGGGAACGACAGCAACTCAGCCACGAAGTGGTAGGCCACGTAAACTGACGGAGCGGGGTCAGCGGATGCTGACGCGCATAGTGCGAAGAGGTCGCCAACTTTCTGCAGAGTCAATCACTACAGACCTCCAAACTTCATGTGGCCTTCAGATTAGCTCAAGAACAGTGCGCAGAGAGCTTCATGGAATGGGTTTCCATGGTCGAGCAGCTGCATCCAAGCCATACATCACCAAGTGCAATGCAAAGCGTCGGATGCGGTGGTGTAAAGCACGCCGCCACTGGACTCTAGAGCAGTGGAGACGCGTTCTCTGGAGTGACGAATCGCGCTTCTCCATCTGGCAATCTGATGGACGGGTCTGGGTTTGGCGGTTGCCAGGAGAACGGTACTTGTCTGACTGCATTGTGCCAAGTGTAAAGTTTGGTGGAGGGGGGATTATGGTGTGGGGTTGTTTTTCAGGAGCTGGGCTTGGCCCCTTAGTTCCAGTGAAAGGAACTCTGAATGCTTCAGCATACCAAGACATTTTGGACAATTCCATGCTCCCAACTTTGTGGGAACAGTTTGGAGCTGGCCCCTTCCTCTTCCAACATGACTGTGCACCAGTGCACAAAGCAAGGTCCATAAAGACATGGATGACAGAGTCTGGTGTGGATGAACTTGACTGGCCTGCACAGAGTCCTGACCTCAACCCGATAGAACACCTTTGGGATGAATTAGAGCGGAGACTGAGAGCCAGGCCTTCTCGTCCAACATCAGTGTGCGACCTCACAAATGCGCTTCTGGAAGAATGGTCAAAAATTCCCATAAACACACTCCTAAACCTTGTGGACAGCCTTCCCAGAAGAGTTGAAGCTGTTCTAGCTGCAAAGGGTGGACCGACGTCATATTGAACCCTATGGATTAGGAACGGGATGTCACTTAAGCTCATATGTGAGTCAAGGCAGGTGAGCAAATACTTTTGGCAATATAGTGTATATCCGGGCTTTATATTCAACTAAAGTATTGGGGTAGGGTGGCCATTTCTATAGCACCAAAAAGGAGGACATTGTGTGGCATATCAATAAATTACTAAGGTGTACATAAGAATCTGGTAAAGTCACATTTATAGTACAATTCTTAGTAGTTTAAAGAGGATGCTGACCACCGAGATGAATCTTTCAAGTGCAGAATACCACAAAGCTTAAGATGTGTGGACTTAAACGTTAAAAAAATATTTTAACAAGAAAAATAAATAATAAAATAGCCTAATATTTTTTTAAGCAACAAAGGAGATTTTAGAAATCACATTCAACTGCTCTAAAAGTATAGCTTTATTTTGAAGAGCCTCAGTCTTTTGGGAACTTAAGTGTGTGTGTCTATGCAGCAGACGTGTCTGTATGGTCATCCCTTTAGCTATGGGCCAATCACTGAAATCCACTTTCACCTCACAGTCTACACTTCCGTAGGACTAGTGATGTTTTATAGTATAGTCCACCTTGCAGCTCTGCACAAGTTATTTTAGCATCCAGGGGCGACAAAACTTAATGTAAAAGCCAACATTGAAGAGTTCGCTGCTGCACGTTTATTACTTTTTATGTTACTCCATACTCGCACGCTGTTCAATTGCAGCTTTTCCTCGACTGCTTACGCCCACATCGCATCAACAAAGTAGCAGAAACTATGGAATGAATCTCAACTACCTTTGGTCATAAATTCACGCTCTTTTGTCTATTCTGGGTTAAAAGACTTCCTGGTTTTGACAGGACGCTGACTTTAATACTTAGCATCAGTAATTCTGATCCTTGTTTACTTTTTTAACCAATGACAAGCAGATCTTTATCTGACACGCCGCCACTCTTAGCCAATCATCTGTTAGATCAGATAGTGATGCATTTTTGATGATTGGATATTGTGCTGAAGCCCAGAAAATAAATAAATAAATAAAACCTGCTCTACAAGCCTAGTGCCTCATAAAGGAGGACAAATACACGTCCGGCTGGATGCAGCGCCGGATGCCGCACAGTGCAATGAAAATCCAGACTGTCCGCCCTAAAGCCGGACATCAGGGCACCCTATATTGGGGTAGTAGAAGGATTAGGGTTTTTCTGCTGTTCGGACACTCAAGGTTCTCCAACCCTCCTCAGTCCGAGACATATTACAAGACACTCCTACAGAGGTGTAACTTTGCCCAGAACTTTCAGATACCTAGAGAGGCTTGAAAGGCTGAAGGAGGAGAGCTTTCCTGATGTGTACCTGGTTGGAACAAAGAACCCCCCTGCTGTGAGACTGCCATGCTAAGCAGCTAAATGCAAGAGAAAACTCAAGCTTTCCTAATCGACATTAGCAAAGGTACAGGTCTGGCAGAACTCATGGAGAGCACAACTGTTAAGGAAAGACAAAAAGAAAATGATGTTCTGCATGGTGCGCTATGCTAACATGTCTGAACTGTGGATTATAAAGATAAAACAAGCTTTAATTTACCATTGTTTAAACACAAGCATTAATGTTCATGTTATTCTCATATGATCATTGCTATGCAGTCTTTAATGGCAATCGGTATGTCTCCTTGCTGCCAGCTTACACAGTAAATTATTTAATAAAACATTTTTTTTTCTTTTTTTTCTTTTTTTATATACATATTTTTTTAAATAAAAAAATAAAACATCATTTTGCCAAATAATGTTTCATTAACCTCTTAGATTTGCATTGTGATTTAGTCTGAAAACACTCCAATTGTTCTAAACTAGTTAACA